CCACACAAGGTCTCTGTTGCATATTCCTACTCTTCTTTGCTACTTTTTAGAATGTTTTAAAAATGTAAAACTATTCTAAGCTAAAGAGCCATAAAAAAGCTACAGGCTGCAGTTTGCAGATTCTTATATTAATACTACCAACACCTTTTGACTGTCCACCACCACCTCTCATGTCTTTATTTCCCCCAGGACCACCTTAAATTCCATAATCCATTGTTATAATCACTGTCCTACATACAATTTTACCTCCTGGTTCCTCTATCGTCTTAATTCATTAGGCAAAACCTCAACCTAGCCATCTGCCTACTCCATGCCTACACCCACGCAGGTGAACATAACTGGAAAACATACATACAACGATGCGTTAAATTCATGACTATTAATTTTAAGTGGGCTTTAAAAAATTAACATTAATGTTTTAAAACCACCTCCAATATTACTAACCAAGGTCTAAGCCACCATCCATGCTTTCCTGCTTGTTGCAGTGGCTTCCTAATTAGTCTCCCTGTTCCCACCTTTGCTCCCTCTGCAGCCTCAGTAGAGTAACCTTCTTTTTAAGATCTAATTTAGACCATGTCAATCCTCTGCTCAAAATAAAACAAAATTTTTTTGAAAACTGAAGTCTTTACAGTGGTCCACATTGGGCAAGGCCCTACCTGAGATGATCCCTTGCTACTTCTCTTGAGGCCTCTCTCACTACTCTCCCACTAGCTTAGTCTAGTCCAGTCCTTACTATTTCTAGAGTATTTCAGACATGCTCTTCATTCAGGGTCTCTGCACTTTACGGGTTCCTCTGTCTGGAATGTCCCCTCAGATATCTACATAGTTCACATTCTCATTTCTTTCATGTCTTTAATCAAATGTCACCTTATCAATAAGGTCTCCCGTACAACTCTATTTAAAACTTCAACCCGCTCTCACTCAAAGTACTCCCTATTCACCATACTGTCTTACTTTCCTCTAACACTAATTTAATATTTATCTTCCCTCTGACCTTCCAAATAAAGGAAGAAAAATGTTTTTTCTATTTTGTTTACTACTATATCTCCAGGGTCTAAAATATACCTGGCAGATAGCATATACTCAGTAAACATTTACTGAAAAAATAAATAATAGTGCATAAAAATCAAATTTAGTTTTTAATTAAAACATTAAAAAGAAATCTAATTTTTCACTACCCCCACATATCTAGATTCATTCTATAGAAGTTATTCAGGAATTTATAGTGTGACAAATTCCATTTGTCATATGAATCCAAACTTTATTATTGTATAATCTAATAAAAACATAAAGCCTTTCTATCTCTCAACACATAATTTCTACAAAACTAGAATAAATTCTAAGCATATAAGCTGCATAATTCTATTTAATGTGTATGGTTTACCCTAATTTTCTAAGATTAAGAACCCATTGATAAAAACTCCTTATAAAAAGGGTCAGGACAAAACTGTTAATGTCATCAAAAACAAAGTCTAAAAAATTGTCATAGTCAAAAGAAACCTAAGAAGATGGGACAACTAAATGTAATATTGTATCTGAATGGAACCCTAAAATAGAAAAAGATTTCAGGTAAAAAAAACTAAGGAAATCTGAATAAACTATGGACTCTAGTTAACAACTGTGTATCAAACTGTAACAAATGTACCATACATTGATAAAAGACGATAATAGAGAAACTCAGTACAAAAATATATGGGAATCTTTTCATTATCTTCATAATTTTTCTATACATTTAAATTGTTCTTTAAAAATAAGTCTATTAAAAGGGGTGGAAGGGGCAACTGGTTGTACGGATTAATTGTCCAGTAAACAAGATACTTCTTTTAGTGTTAAACCTAAGCAAATCAAAATTTATAACCAATCTCAGTACTGTATACATCATTAACAACTCAGCAATAAAAAAATAAAAGACAGAAATCTGCTACACATGAATCAAAGTTCTGATTCAGTAGCCACACTAGAGAGCGAGTAAAGCATCACAAGTAGATTAATTGTGGAGAGCAGCTTTTTCCAAAGGCTGCATGTCTACATACATATACCTTGTAGTACATTGTCTACCTTCTGTTGTTTAAGGCCAGAAACAGACTAAATTCCAAAAACATAATTAGAAAGACAGTAAGAGAAAGAAAGGGGGAGAGAGAGAGAGAAAACGAATGAACCGTGGTTCAGCAAAAAAATAAAGACTTGACTTCAAACTCATGGAAACATGGAACTTAAATAAAATTAATGACTAAGTCACGTATAAAAATGATAGGAAACTAAAAGATATTCAACAGGATTAAATTAAACAGTAAAACTAAAGTATAATTCTCAAAAAATTGAATAAAGTTGGGATGTAATTTAGAATTGTTTAAAACTTTAGAAAAAATTCCAAACAGTAATCAATCACTACACACTTGGAAGAGCAAGGAAATACTAGAATAGTATACCCTAGAAGACATAGTTTTTAAAGGAAAAAAAAATTGGTTATATGCTTTTTATGGTCAAAAACTCATTACATTCATCTCTTTAATCCCCATGTGTCTGCACGTAACAGTTATTCAATATATTTTTGAAATGAACAATTTATTTACAGCTAAATATTAATTCTCCCTAAAAAGAATATCCAAAAGCAGTGACACAAGTATCCAAAGCAGAGATACCAGTAATCATTTTTCTATCATTTCAACATGACATCAGAAGGAAAAAATGTATTTTGGTTTCAAAAGTTACAAATGAAAGATAAGTTTTAGATTCTTAAAATAACTTAAGTTGTCTAAATATTAATAAACATTAATAACAAAATGTAAGTAAAGGAGATTATAAGTCTGTTATTTTTTTAACAAGAGAACATACTTTTAAAAAGTAATGGCAATCATTTTCTGTAAAATATCACATTTTACATATACATTCACTAAGGCCCTTTTATTAATAGTCTTTTATTTTATTTTTCAATGTTTTCAATTACCAGTTTTACAATGGCATTGGCCTAAGTCACAAGTTACCTTAGTGAGTATGTTTAGTAAAAACACAAGATCTACTCTGTCAGCAAATTTCAAATATACAGTATAATATTATTCTCTTGTCATTTCATGCTATACATTAGATCTCTAGAAGTTAGTCACCTACACAACAGAAACTTTGCACATTTGACCACCAACTCCCCATTTTCTCTTCTTCCCCCAGTTCCTAGAAATAACCGCTTTACTCTCTGCTTCTATGAGATCGACATATAATACTTCATCTAAAAACATTTTTGAAAAATTAATACCAGTTATATAAAATGCTTTAGAGGCCAGGTTCAGTGGTTCAGCCTGTAATCCCAGTACTTTGGGAGGCCAAGGCGAGTAGATCGCCTGAGCCCGCAGGTTCAAGACCAGCCCAGGCAACTTGGTAAGGCCTCATCTCTACAATAAATCAAAAATAAACCAGGCGTGGTAGTGTGCGTCTATAGTTTCATCTACTCGGAGGCTGAGGCAGAAGATCACGGGAGCCCAGCAGGTCGACGCTGGGGTGGCCGTGAGCATGCCATTGCACTCCAGCCTGGGTGATGGAGTAAGACTCCAACTCAAAAAAAAAAAGAAATTATAGAAACCTGGTCTATAGACCAAAAAACTTTTTTTGTAATTGCTAGAAAGAAGTATAAATTGTAGAAAAATTTAAACTGATTATGAAAGTAGGAATTTCATTGCAAGTGTATATGACTACTTTATTTTATTCATATGTGAACTTTTACTTTTATCGGAAGAGCAGGCTTACAGAAAAAAGAACAAATTGATATTTCTATAAACCAAAATCCTTCTTATGGAAGATGTAGGGATGGGAGGGATTCTTTCCACATAGATCTGCCAATTAGAAAACTAAGACTATTATGACTTATTTAATATCCATGGCCCTTATGAATATTTATAAAAGAATTTCCTTTTCAAAGTTCTAAATGTCATCCTAACTTTATTTATAAACCAGGCTATAATTCTAAGCAGTTGCAAAAACTGAGATTAAATATTTAAAAATACTATATTCTACACTGCAATAAAAGTCTTACAAACTATATTATTAGATAGAAAAAGAACAAAGAAAAAAGTCATTGAAAACTCAAAAATATCTTTTGATTTGCCAATCTTGGAAATATTTTATGTAATCACTAGTTAAAATAATGACTTTTACAATTTTACATAATATTTAATGATGTAATAGTGATGACTTCACTAATAATATGGTATAAAAAAGAGTTAAGATTATTACATACAAGAAATTCAATTTTATTTTTTCTCATTTCTAAATTTATTCTATTCTTTTTTTTTTTTTTTTTTTGAGTTGGAGTCTCACTCTGTCGCCCAGACTGGAGTGCAGTGGCCGGGAGCGGCCACCGCAGCCTCGACCTGCTGGGCTCCGGCGATTCTTCCGCCTCAGCCTTCCAAGTAGCCAAAATTACAGGCATGCGCTACCACGCCCGGCTGATTTTTTGATTTATTGTAGAGATGAGGTCTCGCTGCCCAGGCGGGTCTCAAACCCGCAGGCTCAGGCAATCCACTCACCTCAGCCTCCCAAAGGTGCGGGATTACAGGCTGAGCCACCGAGCCTGGCTTATTCTATTCTTAAATAAAAGTTATTTTAAAAGAAACTTCAAATTTGAACTCTTCAATTATATGTCTCAAAAATAAAACATAAAAAGAGTTTTTATGATTTAAGAATTTTTGTAATAACATATTCCAGGAGATTATTATTTGAAGGGGGAAAAATTTTATAAAATATTGGTGAAATTACTTAAATCTTAAAAATGAAGCCAACTATGTATATAGTCTCAACATTTACGAGATCCTAACTTAAGATGTTTGCATAAAACCAAAATGAAAACGAAATTATGCCATCTATCCTAAGTCATATCCCAAATTACCAAATGCAAATTAACATAAAAGCATTCTACATAAGTTTTTACAAACCTCCAACACACTTTTGAACTCACTTGGGTAAATATGGATCTTTCCAACAGCAGCAGCAGTTTCTACAAAGTTATTTACCTTGTCCGGGTCTTGCAGTTACAGCTGCTCCAGCAGATGGCGGCTCAAACTCCTGTCAATTACAGTAATGTTATTACAGTGACCTATTACAATGTGCAATTTATAATAAAAAAAAATTAGTGCTTACAATGCCTTACCTTTGCTTTCTTTGAGTCTGGATCAAACCTTTCAAGAATTAATTTAGCTGTCTTATAAGTTTCTTTTTCCATGACTTCTTCAAGCTACAAATAAAAATTTTCATAAATTGGCACATTTTAAAGCACAAACCCTACTTATTTTAATAAATCCTATTCAAAAAGTATTCAAGTACAAGGCTTAAAATAAACAGTGCATAATATATCCAGATAGGATGAAAGACTTCCTACACTCAAATAATTAAAATCCAGATTTTAAAATGGCTTCTAACTTCTAATGTTACTTGTACTTAACAGCTTTACTGCAAGGAAATACCAAATATTGCTAATTGTTTACATATAATGAGGAGAATAATTACATGCACCAACTTCAATAATGGAATGTGCAAAAATCTATCAGCCATCATTATTGGAAGTTATTAGACATGACAAGCAAATGACAGGCAATTCCTCAGATTTATTTCCTCATAGTACTTAATGCTATTAATTTGAAGAAGGTCGTTAGCCAAGAGCTTTACAAAATAAAATCTCTGTGCCAATTAACTGCTGTCAGCATCGATTTTAGATTATTTATTAGCAGAAGCAATTAGCTTGCTGCAAATGCAGTGAAAACTCACTAACTGGGAGAACAGCCACAGACTTTGCTCAAATGACTTTTAAAAATAAAGTCCCTCACCTTTTTTTTTTTTTTAACTTAGACTCAAACAATTTTAGAGGAAAAAACTGAACATAGAATTAAGTAAAAATTTTATGGAGTTCCATGCTCATACTAGGGACTGTAATTAAAACATTTCATTATTATAGCATTTTATTTACAATGCACTCAAGTCATTTTATAGCTTAACACACGAGTTTAACTTAAAATATAACCACTAGTACAGTATCATTTTAGCAGTTATGGCCCAATATCAGAAAAAGTTGAACTTTAGTACAAGACAGTCATAGTTATGACAAATTACCTAATGTGTAGGATAAAATACTTTCGCAAAAATTGGAACAGAACCTTTTCCTTCTCAGTGACCACTGATAGCCACTTAGATTCATTAAATGTCATATTCATTCCAAAGGACATTTATTTTAAGATGCAACCCAGAGCACATTTACTAAGTTAAAAATATAGTTTAAAATATGCTGCCACGGTAGCAGTTAACAGATTCCTCATTAAACACTCAATTCAACATTTAAGAAGCTAGGTGCTTAGATGAATGATTTATTAACCTTGGCTTAGTGAAACTAAAACATGTTTCTAATTATTTCAAAATTACAACAAATTCTCAAAATAAGCAAGTTGACTTTTCTGAAATGTTTGTATTACCACTTTAGAGTTGGAAAAAACCTAGGGATGGGGGTGTAGAAAGGGCATGACGGGCTATATCCCCAAATTACATAATCTACATGAAATATCCCAAACCAAATCTGTGATCTCTACAAATTAGGCATTTGCCATTTTAGACCACTGTTTTTGCAATAAAACTTTATGTAATGATGAAAATGGTCTATATCAGCATAACGGTAGCCAGTAAGCCATATGTGATAAATGAGTACTTAAAATGTTGCTTGTGCAACCGATGAACTGAATTGGTAGTTTTATATCATTTTAAATACTGTAAATTTTAAAAACCACATGGGGATGGTAGCTACTGATTTGGACAGCACAGTTCTAAACTAAGACTACTGCTAGATTAAAAAGAAGGTTAGATAAAACTGTGATGTTTAAAACACGACACAAAACTCCAACCCAAAATGCTACTTTATCAAACAATTGCAATTCCCAGTAGATTCTTCAGCAAATTTGTATGGGTTGATGTTTTTATTTCTTTATCTTAAATAAAATCATTTTTTAAAGCACTATAAGACACAAGACTATTTCTCTTTTATTTTGCATTTACTTCTAACAAAACATTTTCCCATAATAACTTAATTAACACACATATCCATATACCATTTTAAGTGGATAACATGTTTTAAATAAAGAGACACTCTGACCAGGGAAAAAGACATGAACTTGAAACTTTGAAGTCAGAAAAGATTTGGGTTCAAAGCAAATTTCCATTCTTAGGAAGACGGTTAGTATGCTTGTTAGCCTCGGTTTCTCCTTTTGAAGGAGAGATATATTAATACTTTCTTCATAGCACTATTGTGCAATGTAAATAAAATAATGTAGGAGAAAGTCCACAACAGTACCTAAAACAATAATATAATTTTCAATAACACTTCAATTATTCAGAATGAGCCTGAACAAACTGTTTCAAATACTCAACATATTAATCTAAGGATGTGGAATGAGAAATAAGAATTTTGGGAATTTCCTAAATCATAAATGATTTTGTTTTTATAATATTTCATTTTAAATATATTTAAATATTTTAAATATAATTAGTGATATAACATAGAGTGAATAATTTTTTTGTAATATGGTTATATTAAGTTTCAGGGATTTACTTATCCAAAAAATAGAATAATAGCTTCATGGTTATTATGAATCAATATTATCACAAAATTATATATTTTTGTAACATATAAAAATTATTTCTACCTGACATAGCCATTTCATCAAGAAAACATTAAAAGGGAACACTAACATAAAATAAATGCCAAAAAAATTTAAATTTTAAAAGATTCGATAAATATTTAATACTGTAATTATCATTCTTTAAATAGAAATTGGAAACACACAAAGCATTAATTTCCTTATCCAATAGTCACTATTTGTTCATGACAAATATTTCAGATATAGAAATTTTCTTTCATTTTGCACTGACTTTGATCAAATTATTAAGAGTATTAGGCAGCAAGTTATACCATATAAACTTGTCCTTTTATCATGTTGAATATACTCTGTTTACCCTGATTTCGGGTTTGCTGTTGAAATTGATAATGCTTTTACTAATTCAGATTTTATATCACTTTCTGATTTCATACAGGATTATTCCACAATAATAGTTACATCTTTCTTTGTATTTTTTCTGTTGTTCTGTAGCCTAGAGTGAATATTCAAACACTGGAAAATGCCAGGGAATATAACTGGATAATATAAAAATGTGCCATTTGAAACTGCTAGGAAGGTTAATGGCCCTATAAAGAATCAAATGCTAAAATTGCCAATTTAAGAACTTCTTTTGCTTCCAAAACTTATTTAATGGAATATCATTCATAGAATTTGTACAAACTATACTTTATAAATTTATGTTATAGCATATGTTGAAACATATTAATATTTATTTGCAAGAATGACTTACTATTAATAAGAGAAAAGCACCCTTATAACATAGCCACAAAAACAAGACTATCTGATTAGATTGTACCACTTCTACATGCTTCTGTGCTATTCTCAGAAATGTCCACATTAACCTGTAGCTCAGCATGTTAGCATTTTTTGCTCTTGATTTCAACTGACATTAGTAGATTCCTTTAAACCAATAACACCTGTAGTTGACGGTTAAGATTTAATTCTCAGAAAACGATAACACTTGTCCCCATGTTCCCAATTTCTCACCTGATTTTTCTCAGGATTCAGAAAAACATAAATTTCCTGAGAAATGTCAGAAAGAAATTACCACATAAGAACACTATACTGAAAAAAAAGCACAGAATTTTCATAAAGCCACTTAAAGAGATTACCTTGACACACGCATTTTGATAGAGATTAATTTTGAACTGTTTCGAAGCAATGCTCATGAATGCAGAGAGATTATCTATTACACAGATTACTCAGTGATTTAAAAAACTAAAAGTTTTGTTTTAAAAGACCACAAAGTATTTGAGTGATGAAATGTACACATCCAGACTTGGGAGTTTTTTAGCAAACTAAAGAATCATTCCTAGCTTTATCTTAATAAGTAAATACATTAAGCTCTTAAGACTTAAAACAGTTAAGATGCCACTCATTTTTCTTAATAATTTAACTTTTTAATCAATTGATAACTCATATGCATCAATACAAATTAAAATTTTACAAATTTTAAATTGCATTACAAATCTACTCAGATTAAAAAGATGCATCCCTAAGGAAACCACCATTAATAAAGTATCAAGTAGTAAATATAACATATTAATTTTATTAATGAAAGAGAAGGGCTGGGACTTGAATAATTTTAGACTGATAGAAGTTATTTTTCCTGCAGTCATTTCAACAATAAAAGTATTTTTTAAATCATCAATGTAGCATTTAAACCTAAACATTAATGAACAAGATCAGTCTTAATTATGTTTAGCTTTTGATCAAAAGTAATATCCCTTCTTTTGCCTCTCACTGCTAGCATGATCATTAGTTAGCAATGTACTGCTTACTAATTCACTTTAACACTCATAGTTACAAAGTATAAGGCTTCTCAAACAGCAGCCTTTAAGGGCTTGAGCAGTAAAGACTTGCGACCAGTTCAAGTAGCAAACAGTATTATAACTGACAACTATCAGATCAATGCAAACTGTGTTCTCTCATTAATAGAATTAGAGCAAATTTACTTTTAGTCATATTCTTTAAAAACTGCCATTCTTAATTAGTCTTTAATGCTGATAACTCATGAACCACTTAAACATACAGAGCTATTGAACTCTGAACTTTCCCAAGTGTTGTCAGACTTAGATGGAACATCTTTTATGCAGTGATTCCTTCAAGGGCTATTAAAGTAGTAGTAAATAGCCTGGTTTGCCCTTTCACAGAATTTTCCAAGTCTGTTCTGTTACTCTACTGAGAGATTCTCCCAAATCACATGTTCTTCAAGATTTCGTTTTCTGTTCATGTGATGCCACTGATGTTGGGCTGCTCCTGATCACTTAGAAGTTTTTTTCTTTTGTATTCTTCTTTTTCTTTTCTACTTAAACCAATATTCCTCCATCTTGGTACAAGCAGAGCTTGGCTCTGATCACCACTACAACTTCTTTTTATCTCATCAGCAAACCAAACCAATAATATCACAACTTCAATATCACTGAGACCATCAGCATTTCCTCACTTTGAATTTCTGGCTGTCCCATAATAGCAGAAACATAGTAAGAAGATTGTCTTTGTTTCAATGTAATTTGTGCCAATGCAATTTTGATAAATACCTCACAGAACACGAAAGCAGCAAGTATCAAACAAAGCTAAGGAATCCTTTCAGAATTAAAATTACTTTCTTTTTAGGTACTTAAAACCCTCAAGACCAGTGTCTTTCATGATCAGTTCACAGAATAATTTTTAACATTAATCTTAAACTTCAGAATCTTTATTAGTTTCATACATCATTATTATTTGTTACATACCGTACTAAAATACATCGAACTGATCATTTGCACATGATTAAATTTCATTAAATAGGTTTTCAAGCAACATGATTAATACTATCAATAATTATCTTCACACTTCCAAAATAATCATATTAAAAAACCATAAGTAAATCTAGATCAAATACCAGGTTCAACTCACTTATTATAGACTGCTGTATATCAACCCCTCAGTACCTAGAATCCCTTTTCTCTTATTCTTTGTTTTGTTTTGTTTTGACTTGGAGTCTCACTCTGTCACCCAGACTGGAGTGCAGAGGCTGCTCCCGGCCACCGTAGCCTCGACCTGCTGGGCTCTGGCGATCCTTCCGCCTCAGCCTTCCAAGTAGCTGGAACTACAGGCGTGCGCTACCACGCCCAGCTAATTTTTTGATTTATTGTAGAGATGAAGTCTCACCAAGTTGCCCAGGCGGGTCTCAAACCCGTGGGCTCAGGCAATCCACTCACCTCAGCCTCCCAAAGGCAAGGGATTACAGGCTGCAGGCTGAGCCACCAAGCCTGGCTTTTTTTCTCTTATTCTTGACCCTCTTTCCCACTCATCCAAAGGATGCATTTAACTAGCCCCACAATAGACATTCACATGGTCAGTCACTGATAGAAAGTAGAAGACACTGATGAAAAAACTTCTCTCCCCCACTTTCGATAGTCTTTTCTTGTTGAATTTGTCTCTTTCAACCAGTCTTCTTGATTCCCTCTCCTGGCTGTATGCCGTCAAGAAAACCTGAGAACTGACATACATAGATATCTGGTCCTTTTTTGACTCTAATAAACAATCTGGTCACCCACCTTTTTACCCTCTCTGCTTCATTTAGTCCTCCAATATGATTCATTTACTTATTTCTCAGCTTCCAACTAACATACATTTTCAGAATCTCAAAAATCTATCTAAACTACTTTTTCCTGTCAATCATTATAACTAGCAAAAATATTTATAATTGAGCTTCATCATTAAAATGCTATCTAAAAGCATACTTGTTCCTTGGAGAGTCATTAGTTACAACATACAAACATTAATTATTCAGTTCTTAACTTATCAATTTTATATAATAACTTTAAATAAAAGTTAACTTACTATTTTTTTCTTCTGGGACTTTAAATCATCCAATGCTTCATCTAGAAAACAAGATTAAAATAAAAGATAAACCAAATATTAAGATACTTAGATATTAAAAGTCATGCCAAATGATATACATTAAGCAACTGCAAGAAAACGTTCTCATTTTGAGATTTCTCTAAATCTGAATTAATGTGTAGAAACAAAAATTACCTCAATCTTCACCTGCACATATTTCATATTTCTGCCTGTATTATGTTATAAGTCAATAAGAAAATAAATGCGCTTTTCAAAGCATAAGACACCCTTTCAATTTAAAAATATGCATGTGTTTTCAAATGTTTTCAGAAACATCACTTTATATAATTTCTCTTTCCTTTCAACACACTATATAAATTAATTTATAAAATTAATACCAAATCTATTTTTATACATTGGTAATAAAAAAATTCTGCTTATAAGGAAAGAAATACACAACATATTTTACTAAGTTAGTTAATTCTTAAGATACTGAGGAAATCTTTTGAAAATCTATATTATTACATCTAAGGAAGAAATACTAATAAAATGCTTTCAAAATTAAATATTTCTAAGATTTTCCTGCATATACAGATCAGCATGGTGGAACACAAAGAATCATTTCAGAGGACACCATTTATGAATGTCAATATCTGCTTCACAAATAGATTTAGGTTTCTAGTTTTTCCTCTAGAAATATTTAACTAATACAAATAGGAATACTATTTCATATGGAAAGAAAAAAGAATTATGACTTGATAATTAAGAATTATGACTTTATAAAATTAAACATTTTATAAAATGGAATTTAAATAATTGTTCTTAGTTTTGTATTAAACCTTTAAATAAAATTACCTTCTCACTGAAATTCCAAATAACAAACACCTGAATACACAACTAAAACTATATTATTTATGCAAAAATTCAAAGAAATACAAACATATAAAAATATCATTTTACTATGAACTTTTTGCAAAATATATTAAGTGATCTTTAATGTGAAAACAGACTTATTACTAAAAGAGGAGAAAAGCTGCTGGCATAGTTAGAGAGAATAGCAATTTTTAGTTGGATAAGACCAAACCATATATCTATACTTTAATCCAGGAGTCAACAAACTTTTTCTGTAAAGAGCTAGATAGTAAGTATTTTAGACTTTATGGGTCAAATGCCAAAATCAAGTCTATAGTTTTAAAGCAAAAGAAAAAAAATTTCCACAAACCTTTTACATGAAAAATTTAAATACAGATTGAATATCCCTTATCTGACATGTTTGGGACCAGAAGCTTTGGATTTTTTTTTTTTTTTTTTT